ATCTACCTTAGATATACCCCATCCTTCTTTATTCATTGAAATCCATGACCATATAGAGCATTTACAAACATGAATAAGTCTTACAAAAGAGCAAACAACACCTTCAAAAGTCCTTCTATTTCTTTCTTTCCAATCTCCCAGAGAATCACTCCAATTGTAATTTTCCATAGTATGCGCCTAGTCTTCGATAGAAATGGTGCTTTCAAAGAAGACAACAAGTCACCAGTTCTTTGGGGTAGTGGCATCTGAATCCCAACCATCCCAAAGAGCTAATACCAAAATCTCGCTGTGAATGAGCAATGGATGAAGAGATGTACCTCAGACTCACCATCATCCTTACAAAAGAGACATATATTTGGAAGAATCTTCCCCTTTTTAATCAAATTATCAATCGTAAGAATCTTGTCCTGGGCAGCTAGCCATATAAAAATTTGGACCTTATGTGGGATCATTCACTTCTATATTTGTGCTATGTGTGTGCATGACCATCTCCATCTATCTTGAAAGAATAAATTATAACAAGACTTCACCGAGAATATTCCATCACTTTCCATCCCCCAAATAAAGTCATCTTCAGCATTTTGAGAGATATACGCTTTGTCCAACATTTCCATCAATTGAAACCATTGAGCCAATAATGTATTATTCAGCAGACTATATGCTACAAAGTTATCCCAAGAAATGTTTTGGCCCTTCCTTTCTATTGCCTCACTTACTAGCATATCAGGCCTAGCCACCATTTTGAAAAGATCAAGAAACCTTGATTTTAATGGATAATTCCCCAACCACTTGTGTTGCCAAAAAGACACTTGAACTCCATTACCCACATTCCACCGAAAGTAACTAGAAATCATTGATCTACAACTCAAGATATTTTTCCACAGCCGTGAAATATTCTTTCTTCTACCACCCCCCAACCCCACAATGATCCTTCAAATGAATGCTACGCCACTACCATTTGCATAGAAGAGCTTGGTTAAAAGCTCTGATTTTGCTAATACCCAAGCCACCTTCTCTTTTTGGGGTGTAAATTCAATTCCATCTTAGCAAATGGTATTTCTGATTCTCTCCATGGCTACCCCATAGGAAATCCCTCGTCATTTTTTCAATTTTTTTTGCAACTGGATTTGGGATAGAATTTAGCGACATACATCGGTAAATTTGCCAAACATGAGCGTAGCAAAGTTACCTTGCTTCCTAAAGACAAATATTTTGGCTTCTATAAATCAAGCTTTAGCTGTACTATTTCCAAAATCTTGTCCCAAATAGAAATAGATAACCTTGAATCTGAGATGGGTATGCCAAGATAAACAATAGGAAAGGACCAACTTTACACCCCATTGTATTAGCCAAAAACTCCACTAAAGGTTGAGAACAATTTATACCAATCATAGAGGATTTGCTAGAGTTCACTTTTAGACCCAAAGTTGCCTCGCAACACTTTAAAAATATTGCAATACCTTTTACTTGATAGATATCTGCATCACAAAAAAATAAAGTGTCATCTGCATATTGCAAATAAAAAATTGTAATTGATGAGTTTGCAATATTAAACCTTGAGAAATATCCAGTGCTTTCCACCTTTGTCAGCATGAAGCTAAAGCATTCACCATAAATGGTAAAAAAAAAAGGTGAAAGTGGGTTACCTTGACGCAATCCTCTAGATGCCTTGAAGAAACCAATTGGACTACCTTTTTAAAGGGCTGAAAAATGAGCTGATGAAAGACAACCCCATATCCAACTTCGCCATTTGTTTCCAAAACCCATTATCTTGATAATTTCTAGTAGTGCTCACCATTCCACTCTATTATAGGCCTTCTCCATGTCAACTGTCAGCAAAACCCTCGGTTGCTTCTCAACCACCCTTGAGTTTACGCATTCATGAGCCAGCAAGACACTATCTGTGATATATTGATTTTCAATAAAAGCTGACTGCGTACTAGAAATAAAAAATGGTAAAACTCCTTTTAGTCACTCGGCCAGCACTTTAGCTATAACTTTATATAGGCTGGTGAGTAAACCAATCGGCCTAACATCCAAAATTTCCAAAATGATCGATTTTTTGGGGATCAATGCCAAAAAGCTAGAATTTACCCCATGAAACAGTTGTCCCATGATCATAAATCGCCTAACCATTTCCAACAACTCACCCTTCACCAATTCTCAATATTTTTGAAAAAAGGTTAAGGGGAATTCATCTGGTCTGGGCGCTTTGTCCCCAAGTAATGGAAACACAACTTCTTTTACTTCTTCCATAGTGACTTCTCTTTCCAACTTAATTTGCATATTGTGAGATAACACTTTAAATGGAACTCTTTCAAATTTTGGAGTAAAATTCACTTCCTTAGAAAAGGTTTTTTTGAAGTGATTAATCATAGCTAATTCCATTGCCTAATCATTTTTTGGATCAACCCCTTGAAAGGTCAAGCCTGACATATCGTTCTGTCTTCTTCTAGTACTAGCAATGGCATGAAAAAATTTGGTGTTGAGATCACCTTCTTTTAGCCACTTGGATCTCGATATTTTCTTCCAATAAATTTCATTTGCTCTTCTAAGGTCATTAAGCTCTTTTAGTTTCTTGTTTCTATCCACAAAGAGCTGCTCAGTAAAGGAACACTCTACTTGAATGCTATGATCCAAGCCTTCAATATCACGAAGAACCTCATCCATCTTCCTTTTGATATCAAAATTGTTGTCCAAACCCTTTTTATAAGATCTGTAACCCCATCCACCTCCAACAATTCTAGATTCATTCTAAAGGGCTTTGGAATACCATGCCACACCGTAGTATTTAGCAAAATTGGTTGATGCTCAGAACTCAGTCGTGGCAAAGTTTTAACCAATGCTAAAGGAAATTCCTCTAGCAATTCCATCGAAATCAAGAAACAGTGACATAGCTGGCCCAATCAAGCTATTGTTAGACCTCGTGAAATGTGATCCAATTATAGGTAAATCCATTAAGGCATTACATTCAATAAACTCATTAAAGAGTCGCACTGAAGCGTGAATAAGAGTAGCAACAAGACACTCGTCAGGCCATCTAATAAGGTTGAAATCACCCCCCAATACCACAGGAATTAAAGGAATGAATAGCAGAGTTCAAATCAGCAATAAAATCCTCTTTAAGAGAAGGATCAGTAGGTTCATACACATTCAACACCCCCTAGGATAAGCCTGGTCGGGGTCCATGAAAACCCAAAAGCAAATAGCTGTTTTTCAAAATGACTTCAAAAGTATGTAAAACCAAAGGATCTCACAACACCCATAAATCCCCTGACGCACCCACTGATCAATCCCACAAAAAGAAACTGCCTTAGGACCCCAAACTTCCCTAGCCCCTGACAAAGTGGGCCTAGGAAGTTTAGTTTCTTGTAAAAGTAAAACAATAGGTTTAAACTTGGAAACAAAAAATAAAACATCATTTTTCCTACGGGAGTCACCCAGACTCCGAACATTCCAAGATAAACAATTCAATAAATAGTTGGGTTAGAAGAAGAAGCACCTGGTCCATCAGGACCTGTTCCAAAATAATGCTCCTCCAGCAGCAAGGCTTCGTTCAGTTCATCATCATCCCTGGACGATCCACTCGATGAAGAAGAGTCAAGGTCCACTAGCACCGGCTCGCGATACTCAATCCCTCTGGGTAGACCCCTTCTTAACAATTCCTTTAGCCTCCAAACGTGTTGAAGATCTCGCCCCACCTGCAACCATCTTCTTTTTTTTGCCCGCATTCTCCTCTTTGGCCGAAGTCTTGAGCACCTTCACCTTACTAGCCACGCTCTAAGATTTGCCAGTCACATATTCTTTTATGATAGATGAAGATCATTGACTTCTACGAACCATGATTTCCTCCAAAACCACTCCGAGAGGAACTTTGTCCATCCCCATTTCGTCCAATAGATTAGCAATTTCTGGCTCATCCTCCAAAATAGGATCAGAGGAAGTTCTCCTCTGCAGCATCGGCACTCCTTCATGGGATAATAGAGCAAGAGGCAAAGCTTCGTCTTGTGGAAAGGCGTCTAACGGGAGGTCCTCCAAACCATCAAGGCATGATAAAAAACTTGAGAACGAGGCTCCTCTTCGTCTGTGCCTCACTCCTCTGTTCTTGTTCCTCTTCTATCAACACTACTGCAAGGGGTTCTACCAAAAGAGGGTCAAACTTATTCACATTTTTAGGGAGAGAGAAACCAACAAAACCTATTTACGTTCTTAAAGGGTTATAAATAAATATGACATTTATTTTGACTTTCTTAAGAGTCATTAGTAAAGATATTTTTCGTCATAAATAATACTAAAAGTACCCTAGAGGGGAAAAAAAGGTAGTTTGGGATAATAGGTAACAAAGAATTTTCAACTGTGGGGGAGTTTAGAGAACAACAAAAGTGGGGGAGTTTAGGGAAAATAGTTTGACAGGGTTGCAGCTCTATTAAAGTATCACCTCATAACTCATCCAAAACCATAATCCAAGCATTAAAAAATTTTTACATCTTGAAAAAATCAGGGTTTCAAGCTCTAAAAATAGCGTATATTGTTCTTAACTATCTATTTCACCCTAAAACTAAGTGTACTATTTTAATAGTTTCAAATTTTATTGTTGATGTTAAAAATTGATTTTAGAGCTATCAATAAAATTTTCTTTGCTGAAAGTGCTGTCCTTATGAGAATTTGAGTGAGGCTTTATTTTATTTTCATAAAACCTAAGCCTTATAGAAATCTCATCCTCTAATAATTTTCCCTTAATTATAGAGAGAAAAAAAAATCAAAGAGTGTGAGTGCTACAAATCTATCACCAAAAATGGATTACAGCCAGCACAAATCTAACGGAGCACATGCATAATCGGCCCATGTTTGGACGAACGGTTGCGATCTCACTCATTCAGATGAACAGTTCATATTCAGCTTCCTCATTCCCTCTCAGGAAATCTCCGCCGTTGATGCCCACTTCGATCCAATTCAGTACGTAGCATAAATAAATATCAACACGAAGAGATAACAAAGCAGCAGAGGATGCGTACACCTAGAGACAGACCGTGCATAGATGTGATATGGGTGGTGTTTTAGAGAGAGAAACGGGTGGTGTTTTAGAGAGAGAAAGTGAAAGTTTGTAGATGTGGTATGGGTGGTGAGCCAGAAAGAGAAGATTATACTGGAGTCGTTAATGGCTACCGGACCAAACACACAGAAGGTGGCGATCTAGAGAGAGAAAAGGAAGAAAACCCAGAAAAATCCATGGGGGGTGGTGCCCTAGAGAGAGAAGAAGACAAAGGAGCCGAAAAAACAATGGTGGGTGGTGTTTTAGAGAGAGAAAAGGAAGCAGACCAAGAATATGTCATGTTGGGTGGTTGTTTAGAGAGAGAAAGGAAAGCAGAGCAAGAAAAAAAAATGGAGGGTGGCGCTCAAGAGAGAGAAAATTGTCCAGAAACCAAATCCATGGAGTCTTCACCAGCCCATGAGTTTGAATTCACCATCTCCCTGCGCTCGCAGCGAAGCAAAAGCAGCAAAAAGACTACCAGTAACATAAGCGGTGCGAATTCTCCTCCTTCACCTCAAGACATTGCTCCGGCCGATCGCATTTTTTACAGAGGCCACATCCTCCCTCTCCAACTCATTGAAAACCGGCCTCTTTCTCTCTCTAACAACGCCATCGTGGACGACAGAGACAGCCTCGAAAACTCTAATCCAATCAATTGGGACCAGAAAAGTTACAGTGAGTATGAGGACTCGAGACCCAAGTCGAGGGCCTTCTCTTTGTTTGGAGGAATGGGGAGAAAGAAGTTTAGAGAGAGAGAAGAGGCCCAGAAGAAGAAGAAAAAGAAGGTGGGTTTTAGTGTGAGAGAGAAGATAGAGAGGTATGTGAAGATGGTGAGGCCCCTTTTCGGGAAAGGAGAGAGAAAGTCTGTGTATGATGAGAGAGAAAGTTGCAGAAGCTCATACTCTTATTCATTTTCAGGGAATTTGACTATGGGGTGTGGAGGAGAGAGAAGAGGAGAGAAAAAGGGAGGTGAGGTTTCCGCCCCAGCTTCTCTGAGGACAACTCCAACTAACAGTGGCCTTCTTTTCCCTTCATCAAATGGCAAAGTTCCAATGAATTCATGTTCTTATTCTTCACAAGATAGCACCATGGAAGAGATTCAGAGCGCCATACAAGCGGCCATTGCTCACTGCAAAAATTCAATTTCCATGAAAGAGAACCGCCATGGAATCTCAGCTCCTTAAATTTTCAAAAAAATAGAGGAAATTGGTTCCTTTTCCTCTTCTTTTTTTTTTTTTTCTGTTTTTTATGTAATTTCGTTTCTTGAGCTCTTGCTGTATAGATTATGTAATTTTCTTGTTTAGAATACAATGAATTATTTTCGCTGTTTTTGGGACCTCAGAAGCTGAAGATTTATGGATTTATGTACACTGTTCTCTCTTTTTATTTGAGATGCTCTTCTTAGGATTTCCTCTTTTTGGTCCTTCCTTTTCTCGTGGGTCGTATGGGTCTTTGCAGTTTGATTAATTAATGGATCGTTGAGGAGTTCGAGCCTGCATTGGAACCAAGGAGAGAGAGTGTGCGTTATATCTTAGAGAGAGAGTGTGTGTGTTAGATCTTAGAGAGACTGTGTCTTAGATTTTAGAGAGATAATGTGTGTTAGATAATAATTAAGAACCAGTGCAGTCATTCAAATATTTGAATTTTTTAGGCGAACCCCTTGATCAATTTCCCCACAGTTCATGGAGCACAGGCCCCATTTACTCCCCTCCCTTTATTCTCCATTCATTATTTTCAAAATTTCCTTAGAAATATGATTTTTTGTTTTTTTTTTTTAAAATCAGAGGTTGTGTATACTTGAATTTGAACTTTCTAACAGGGGTAGCAATATTCCGGTAGTAGTATAAATAAATAAATATAATAATTATACATTTAATAGAGTAGACTAACGGATCAAGATTAAAAAAAAGTTATAATGATGATTAGAATTGAGGCATTGATGATTAAGGGGTGTATGCCTCAACATCTCACACTCTATTCACACCGTTAACATATTTAAAATAAATAAATAAAAATTCTCAAGCAGGTTTGGAACGACTGAGGCCTACTCGAATGGGGTGGACTTCTGGATGGAGCAAACGTACCTTGAATTGATCAATCTTACTTGATTTTCTTTTATTTTCTTCTTTATTTTAATAAAAAAAACCATAAAGAATTGGCAACCATCCCGACTCAAAATTGTTGACAATTAGTTCGACCTACTGGTCCGACTCGTAGAAAACTCTAATCCTAATTAGCAAATAATAACATAAGCTAGTTGTGAGTGGTGTAATGGGCACAATATCCAAAATATTGGGGGAAAGCCATCAACCCAGCACAATGGCAATGACATCAAAGGCAAAGAAAAGCATTGATACCATGTGGGTCTGTGAAATGATGGTAATGGAATTTTCATATATCATAGCAAGTACACTCTGGTTTCCAATAATTGCTTTAATTGTACTTGACATTGTTCCTCTCTCTCTCTCTAACAAAAGAAGTAAATGATAATGAATCTCTCTCTCTAGGAAAGGGTGATGAACCCTGAGTTACTATTTGGAAAGTTTATGATTCCTTAGTAGTAGAAGGGACATGGAGCCCTCCTTTTAACTTTTTGAATGAGGGCCCATCTCCATTATTGGAATGGTGATAAATTATTTTGATAGCTTGCTTTTACTGCATCTCCATGCCTCTCACATTACTGATGAGATTTCAGCCCCACCGAGCAAAGCATATCATCAATAAATTTTGCAAGGACTAAAAATTTTAGGAGAGAAGAGTGAAGATTTATGTTGGATTGTGGAAGGGGATTCTTTAAAAGTAAAAGTTTATACAGGTGTGAACCTTTAGGAGTTAAGTAAACCTAAAAAACCCACTAGAGAAGTTTGTCTTTATGCTGGAATCCCTCGAATCGGTCATCTCAACCTTGAGATTCATAGATATGAAAACTAGAAGATTATTAGTATTAAAAATTACATTATCAGAACTATCCATTTTTAAGATTTTTAAGTATTTATAGATCTGCTTGATCATCACCATTTTTGAAACTTTAAATCTCATATCATTGCAAGGCTTTGTAGCACCGAAACAGTATTTTTGGCATAGTTTTGAGGTGCACCATACTTCAATAGTATAAAGTTGACATATTATACAAACCTCACCCTTCTTTAAATATCATTAACTAGTGTAGTAATATTGGGATGGGAGTTTGCCATTTAGCATGGATAGAAATTCTAGATCTTTGCTGACATCATGCGGTTGACTACAATATTTGATCATGAGGTGAATGACAAAGCAGATTATTTAGCTAAAGTAGGAGTGTTTTTATTTTCCTTGGCAATTTCTTCCATAAGTGTTTTGTAATCCCATTGTAACTATCTGATTTTAATAAGGGAAAAGTTTATGCAGATCTTAGGCTCTAAACTATCAAATTAGAGCCAGCCTAAAAAATTTCATTAGAAGAGGTTGTTTTGATCCCCAAATATCCTTAAATAGATCATCTTGACATCAAGATGCATGGACATGAGAAAAAAATGGATTTCAAGCTTTGAAAATAGTGCATCTTATAATGCATTTTTGGAAATTTTCAAGTCTTTATAGATTTGCTTGATCTACACTATTTTTAAGCTTTAAATTTTATAATTAGCGCTGAAAATATATTTTAAAGCTATCACAAAGATTTTCAATATTGAAACCACAATTCTTATATACTATTTAAGGGTGGGCTCTAATTTGATTGTTTAGAAACTTCAGCTCTATGCAAACCCACACTTTTAATAATATAGCAGTAACCTTGTCAAAAAAAAGAAAAAAGAAAAGTATATCATTAATAAATGGAAAAAAATTATATAGAGCCGAGGCTCTAAACAATCAAACTAGAGCCCATCTCAAAAATTTCACTAGAAAAAGTGATGCCTAAATATCCTCAAATTGATCATCTCGACATTAAGATGCATGGACATGAGAAAAAAAATGAATTTCAAGTTTTGGAAATAGTACATTTTGTAATGCATTTTTGGACCTCCAATTTTCAAGCTTTTCTAATTTTCATAGATCTGCTCAATATATACTATTTTGAAGCTTTAAATTTTATAACTAAAAATGAAAATACATATTAACACTATCACAAAGATTTTCAGTATTGAAACCACATTTCTCGATACTATTTGAAGGTGCGCTTTACTTTGATTGTTTAGAGCCAAAGCTCTATACAAACTGCCCCATTCATATATCACAAGTCCCAACACCAAATCAGACATACGTGGTTTCTATTTGAAAGAAGATTATACATTTAGGGGCCGTTTGGATACCTGGAAATATATTGTCTGTGAAATATATTACATGCGTAATACATTGTTACTGTTTGGGTAGTATTTAGATGCAACCTGGGAAATACATGGCTATTGTTTGGCTATATCAGGAAGAAATTGAAATAAGATAAATTTTAAAATAAAATCTACATAACAATAAAACCAAGATCTTAACAACTTGAAGTCATTGAAACAACTATGCACTATGCTTAAGAATAAAAGATAAAATTGCAAAAAACAAAAAAAGAAGAGTGCCGGAGATTACCTCAACCGGGCTTATTACACTCCACACCGAGTCACCACCATCCGATGGCACGGGATCAACGGTCTAGCTTCAATCTCGAACCAGAAAAGCAAATTTCGGCCAAGCCATACCAATGGATCATGAACCCATTTGATCACAAACTCAAACCCTAGGTGAATTCTCTTAGCAACCTAGTTTGAGAGAGATGGATTCTCTTGTTGCTAAACCCTAAAGCCTTTAGCCGTAATCCATATTTGAGAGATATGAGAGAAGAACTCGATAACCTAAACCCTTATGTTCTTTCACAATGTAGGAGAGAGAGAGATCAAACATGAGAGAGTGGTGCATGCCCCCTTTTTGGGATATGAGAGAAAATGATGAGAATTAGGTACAAGAGATACTGTGTAGAGATTTTTGGATAGAAACAATCCCTTTTTATAGGATTTGAATGAGATTCAAGTTTCTTAGGGTTTTCCTTAGCTTGCCTCTTCATGTGAGATTGAACATAGACCATCGATCAATGGTGATTTGTGGGATGAGAGATCTGAGCCATCCATTCTATAGATGGGCCATCAAAATTATGGAATGTGCATGAACCATTATCCCCCTTTTTTAAACCATTTTTCCATCAATATATTTAAATAAAATAAATATCATGCATTCTATAAAACTGCACGATCCATGTCACATATTCCATAAGGATATGTCAAATAATATCGAGTAGATAAATACTACTAAATATAAATAAGATAAGATCCATATCAATTCAAATTGATCATATCTCTTTAAAAGAAACTTGTTACAAAATAGATAAAGCGATAGTCAATATATCCCTTCCAAGATTTGACCACATGCCACAAATCAAACTAACCTTATCTTAAAAGCAAACAAGAGAATCCAAAGAGGGTGGGGCGTGCCACCCTTTTGTGGCACATGTGCCCCATCCCCCACCCACATGTCATATGGTGGGCCCATGTGCACTATAGGCCTCTATGGAATATTATAAAAAATATTATTTTTAAAATTGAATACAATAATTTAAACTATATATTTAAATTTTTATAACTTTGTAAAAACAATAACTGTATTTTTATAAATAAAAAAATCACAAATAAAATATTGAGAGATTCATAAAATTCAAATAATAAAACTAAAATCATTTCAATAATAAAATGAACATAATTAAATTAATATGATGGGAAAAAGATCTATATGATTTTAAGAATCCAATCTATAATAACATGGTATTCCACCTTCAATTGTGGACTACAGACCATACTATCGAACCAACCCAGTGTTTTCCATGACCCACAATCCAAGCAGGGGCTCATTAGTGGCTCACCAAAGTCAGGTCGATGAATCAAGGGATCGCAATCCCAGTCTGTGGATTACAGGTCTTGAGACGAGTCAATGTCACCACGACCTGATGTGACCACAGCTCTATGGTGCATAGAGGTATCTCTCGCATATGCATACGCTTCACCCAAAGGTGGATATCTGGCTTTCCCAAACGAGCTATCAATATGCATGCCGTGTGATGAAACATGGATAAGGTTTTGGCCGTCTCAGTAGGCCACCACCACACACAAGGGTCACACAGTGTAACAATCCTAAACTTTCAAAAAAAAAAAAAAAAGGGACAATAAACTTTTAATAAGTGATGGTCCATATGAGCATGATGGTCCTTAGGGACCATCACTATTTTCAAAAGCTTTTGACTTAAGCTTTTCTTATCTTATAACGTGGCTTGTAGTTTCTCTTACGTGTTGGCCCTTGACAATCCACTATGACGTGTAAGTAAAT